CTAAGATTCATTTTTAATTTTTATTTCACTTTTTTAAATTATTATGGGCTAACTTAATTATATTACTGCCTCAAATGTAGTTTGTAGATAGATGGATGTATTAACTACATCCATCTATCTTTTTTGCTCGTATCCTAGGACTGCCAGCAAACAAACTCAGTGCCTTCAGCTGAACTAATCAGACGAATAGAGATCTGGAAACTTGAAGTTTCCGGTTTTTTACTGTTCATCAGTAGCCGTCGTATATATTCGGAATAGTTTAAAAGACTTTCACTACCATTGTATCTATTTTTAACAACAATGTCGAGTTCGTAGTGACTCTGGTTGTTATATTCTAATGGTATGTAAATATATACTCCAAGAGAAACGAATGCTATATTTAAACCTAAAATGTATAATATATCCTGGTAATTTTATCACCTTTGGTCAGCACTAAATGCGAAAAGAAAATATCACCATACCGATCAGTCAAAGCGTTATATTGAATCTCTTCCCATGATTTAAATTACTGATGTTCGGCTTGATTAGATCGTATCTGAGTTGTGCTAGGACAGCCATATCTATGTGATGATTATGGTTTTCTTTAAAGTGACCTGTTAATGATTTTTGAATCTTCTTTATGAAGCTATCTTCTATCTGCAGCCAATTTCTTCTCTTAATGTTAACTTCTACAGGTTCGCATACTGTCATACTGGAGAAATCATTGTTCGATTCTTGGTTCTTGACCAAAAATTATTGCATATGTGGCGTTGCCACTTTAATGCTAAATGATGAAGGTTATGGTGAAAGCATTTTGCAATCTTTTAATTTCTTAATGAAGAGAGCATAATTGTTTTGACTTTTCATTTGATGGCATTCTATATTCTACATAATATGTATTTAAAATTTGTAAATGTTCCACACAATATTGATATCTAAACTTTTTTTTGGGCAAAAGTATATGTTAAGATACTATATAAAATATATATAAAAAAAAATTTACTATTTTATGTACAATATCTTTATGTAAACATACCGCTAAGTCGCAAAATTTGTACACAACATTATCCGGGTAGCTGGTATAACCGACAGCATTAGCACCACGTAACAACATTTGGAAAGGTATATTTGGTATCTGTTTACGCATTTCTTCCAATCGTTCCCATGGACATTCATGCAAGAAACGTAGAGCAACATCAAAAGTAGCACCACCCCAATTTTCCAAAGAGTATAGATTATTGAATTTGTGAGCAACAAATGGTGAAATTTTTAATAGATCATGTGATCGTACACGTGTAGCTAATAGTGACTGATGAGCATCTCTGAAGGTAGTATCCATGAGCATTAAATTCTTACGAGACCGTACTTCTTTGGCAAATGCCTCAGGACCCTGAGACTTGAGTATGCCTCGTAATCCTTTTGGAGGTTCCGTGACTGTGTAATGTTTTTGATTTTGTAAAACACAATGAGATTTTTTAAATGGTTGGGAGTAAGAGAAAAAAATAAATTAATTTTAAATAAATATATTACATAAGAATATTCATCAATTGAAAACGTATGCTTTTATCATTGCATTTAGCTCTGCAAGCTTCTTGCAAGCTCTTTACAGATTCCAGAAATTCGGATAACGGCAAGCGTTTTCTTTAAAATAAAGTTTATAAGAATTTATTGTAATATATACAATTGCACAAAAATGCTTATTATATTAATAGCTTAAGCTGAGCTTTAATGAAATTATTAAAGAATTAAACGCATTGCTCAAAATTTTATTAAAAAATACGCAAAATATAATTATAAAAATAACATAAATTTTCCAAAGTCCCATTAAAATCATGTAAAATTTAAATATTCAACCAAAATGCCAAAAGATAATTATAAATAAATTTGTGAACTTATGATAATTTTGAAAAAAAAAATTTTCTTTAATATCAAATAAAATTTTTTCAAGTGTATTTTTCACATACCTTTAGCTTCGCCACGCTCTTCACGCAATAGTGCCTCAGGCGATAGATCTTCACATATTGGTATTAAAAGTTTATATGTAAACGTGTTTGTTTTTCGAATTTTTGTTAATTACAAAATGATACAGAATTTTACAATAAAAAGAAAACGAAATAATAGAATTTATTAAAAAGAACATAAAATAAAAGAATCAAAGAATCAAAGAAAAGTTCAAGAACAGTAAAAAAATCGATCGAAATATATCTACTGATCTACTAAAAATAGTGCAGAACTATTTCTCAGTGCTAAGCATGCGCTAGTAATGTGAGTACGACTCTTTAAGATAAAGGATGTATCATCTTATTAACAAATAGGTTTGGAAAGCTATGAAAAAGAAAGAGATAGGTGAGTAGATGGGAAAGTATGAAAAGGAGAGAAGTAAGAGAGCTTTCAATATTAGTTATAAACTTCTTTTATATACTGGAGTATTTGTTTATGAAAGGGTGGGAGAACACATCCTTATAAAAGAATGTGTTGTATCGTATCATAAACTTTTATCGGGTAGTCAATTTCGAGGAAGATTATATCCTCTTTTAAACAAGTGGAATATCAGAATTTTTTTTTGAAACTAAAATTTTCCCATGCCACTATAATCAACTTGAAAGAAATTTTTGGAAGATGTTTGTGCTTACCAATATAAATCTTATAATTATTTATACATATTATATTAGAGCATATAGTAAGGACTACCAGCTAAAGGTGATCTTTCTCGTTTACACGTGAGTTTTTTTTTTGAAAGTTGTAGACGTATATGCAATTATGCGTTCTCAAGCTTCAACAGGTTAGAATATACTGACAGGGGTCATGTCCATTGTTTTAATAGTATTTCGCATTCAGAACAAGAATTTGTTCGTATAATGTAAACAAAATTGATTCTATTTCATTATGGCATCACTTATATTCAACCAGGCACTGCCCCTACTTCTGTAAATTTACATATTACCATGAACTGGAAGTATAAATAACTGCAAGTTTATGGGCAATATAAATAGGCACATAGGTACAGTAAAATATGTCAATAATGAATTTATTCCAAGAGCATTCAATTATATAAAAAAACTAAATAAACTACTTTTTATTGAAGTCTTTTTTGATAGTAATATATTTTACTTAATGAAATATTTCAAAAAAGAATTTTTATTGTATGATATTCCTTTATCTTAAAGCTTGAATAGAAAAATGTGTTTATGAAAGAGGAAAACTTAAAAAAGTCATAGAACTTTACTGCTAGCAACACTGAAGCCAAATTTCACATATAAAGGCGAAAATTGTACTTACCTAAAGGCACTTCGGGTACATGTGGAGTTACATCGGCAGGCTTCAAGCCAGTAGCCAAAGGAGTTTGTGGTCCATTGACCAACACCTCACCGATATAATTAAGTAATTTTTGAGCACGATTTTGTGAATGGCGGAATTTAAACAATTGGGGATGTTCATCAATAAAGTATGTGTCCAGTACGCCGTGTAGGAATTTCTGATTTTCTAAAACGTTCAACAGAAATGGTATATTTGTTTTAACACCACGAATACGAAATTCGCGCAATGCACGATTCATTTTTGAGGCAGAACTTTGTAAATCACTGGCATGCGATATAATTTTAACAAGGAGGGAATCGTAGTACGGTGAAATGATGGCACCGGCAAAGGCGGAAGCACTATCCAAACGGATACCCATACCTTCACCAGAGCGGAACACCTCAAGACGACCAGTGCTAGGTTGGAAATCATTGGCAGGATCTTCTGTTGTAACGCGGCACTGTATAGCATAACCACGTGGTTTAATATTTTCCTGAGTGTAACCAAGTTCCGGTAAAGTCATGCCTTCTGCAACGCGTATTTGCGATTGTACCAAATCAATGCCAGTTATTTCTTCGGTTACAGTGTGCTCCACTTGTAATCTAAAAAATATTATACATAAAAAGGTTCAGAATTATAAAGTTATATATTCGTACCTAGCATTAACTTCAATGAAGTAGAAGTTACCAGACTCATCACACAAAAACTCAACAGTTCCTGCATTTTCGTAACCCACATGCCTGGCTAAACGTACAGCTGCTTCGGTCATTTTATCACGTACTTCCTTTGATAAACGCGGTGCTGGAGCGATTTCCACTACTTTCTGATGACGTCGTTGTACTGAACAATCGCGTTCAAACAAATGTACAACATTACCGGCTTTATCTCCCAATAGTTGTACTTCAATATGACGTGGGCGTTCAATAAACTTTTCTATAAACATAGCACCATTGCCAAATGCTGCCTTGGCTTCGGAACTAGCACGTTGAAATAATTCTTCAACTTCATCCATTTTGCGCACAACACGCATGCCACGTCCGCCACCACCATATGCAGCTTTAAAAATAACAGGCAGGCCATGTTTTTTACAAAATTCCATTGCTTCTTGGCTGGTAGTTACTGGACCATCTGTACCAGGTACAATAGGAACGCCGGCTTCAATTGCCGCAACACGTGCAGCCACCTTATCACCCATTTGTTGCACAACTTTTGGTGAGGGGCCAATGAATCGAAGACCAGCATCGATAACGGCTTGAGCAAAATCGCTCCGTTCTGATAAAAATCCATAGCCTGGATGCACAGCATCAACATCGTTTTCCTTACAAACACGGATAATTTCGGGAATGTTTAAATATGCCTCAACAGGTGGTAAGCCTTTGCCAACTAAATATGATTCATCAGCTTTTTGACGATGCATATGCATTTTGTCTTGTTCCGAATAAACAGCAACGGACTTAATACCCAATTCAGTGCAAGCACGGAAGACACGTATGGCGATCTCGCCACGATTGGCAACAAGCACCGAACGTATGGGTTTATATTCAACCTAGATGTTTTTTAAATTTTTTAAAAATTGTATTTCTTTTACAACTCAGAGGAAAATACAAGAAGCATCCTATAAACTTACCTGACTAGAATAGGCATTTTTATTTATAAGAAATATGCGAACACGGGGTGTGGTTTGTCGGAGAGACTTAAAAGCTCTATGTGCAACTGGTATAAACATTTTGATTTAAGTAGTTCCAATAATTGCTAATATGTAAAATAATATGTAATATAATTATTTTAATATGTATATGAAATTTTCTTACACTTAGAAGTATTTTTAATATTGTCGGCAGTCGTTGTTGTATGAGACTACAAATAGAGAGAGGGAAAGAAAAATTAATTATTCATAAAATATATACTACAATAAATTATTTCATTAAATAGAGAATATATTTTAATTTTATAAAATTATATAAGTTTTCTAATTCGTTCTAAATTTGTTCTGGGTAAGAATAAAACACCTAAGTATAGCACCTCAGTTATAGGTATAATATACATATATAGCACCTAAGTCTCCACTCCAAAATTAACAGGATTCAATGCCTGACAGTTGCAGTTTAAAAGCTTTGTACGGTTAAATTAAACTCTTAAATATTTCCGAAGACTAAAAATGATTGATTTTTTTAATTAATTTGTAATTTGTTTGTAATCAAAATTAAAACTTTAATGAAACTTGTTATTAAAAGAAGTTGGGTGTTTATGTAATTCATGATGTGAATAAGAAAACTTAATAGACCATCTCTAAATATATTGTGTGGTAACAAGCTATAAAAAATGGAACATGTATTACAAATTTATATGAAAACGACTTTGTTCAAAAACAAATAAAGGTGATTAGTAGGAATAAAGGAGTATCATCCATTACAAATACTATAGTAGCTTACACATAACTACTTCGAAACTCCCTTGATAATAATCAACAAAGCAATTAAAAAAGAAATTGAAACTAATTAGGAGAATATGTGCTGTGTTGTATCCTCTATATCAGTGGTTCTCACTCGGTGATCCGCAAGATGGTTAAAAATGGTTTGTGAATCAAATTTAACAGATATAGATACATAGCTTGTAGTTTGTTTACTAAGACCTCACTTAGTAGAAAATCAGTACAAAAAATTTGCAAGTAATTATATACCTATTTATATCCTATATCATGGCTGTCGAAAGCATGGCCCACGGGCATGTGCATCCTTATTCACTCTAATAATACGAGTGCTAATCCAAAAATCGAAGAAAGTGATCGAAAAACATAGGTGAGATTTAAAATCAAAATAGGAAATCACCCAATGGGAGTTAATAAGATTCTTGAAAAATTAATTTTTTTTTCTTGAAAAATATTCAGTGGGGCAATTGTATTTGCCCCACTGTATGCTATGTGGTCGATTGTTTGCTTGTGTTTGTGCTTTAATATTTGAAAGAAAAACACTAAAATTTTGAAAGCGTTACTTACTGGTTTATAGACTATTTGCGTTATTATTTGTTTTCGCTAATTTTGTAAAATAATTTAAGATTCTAAATTGTTCAACTGTTTAAGGTTATCGCTTTCAAATAGAAGGTTAAATGAATGGAAATGGAATTACTTGATTTAATGCTTTAAATCTAATACAGAACATTGAGTTGATTATAATTTAATACAATTTTATTTTTTTTATTTAAATTTTACTAAAAATGGTCTAAAAATTGAGATTGGAATAAGGTATATATATAATAATTTGAATGTTTATTAATTTATTTATTTAGTTTAAAGATAATATATTAAGGATAACAAGCACTAGCGACATAATCCTATAAGTCGACAATAAATACTAATACAGAATTGTTGGATGCAATTATTATTTTAGAAACGATTATATCAGATTCAATATATATTCAATTAAATTCCAATTGTAATAAAGTTTTAAAAAAAATTATAGTCGACTTCAAACTTAAGAAAAAATCATCGAAGACTTTAAGAGCAAATTTTTATTTTAATATAATAATATTATATTAATTTATTCACAATTTTAGAATATATTTTCTAATATTTTAATTATCTCATAATTTAATATAAATTCAGTCCAAAAAGTATTCCGATTATATAGTTTAAGTCAGTGGCGCTTCAATTATGTTAGTTTAACGTTAAGTCTGTTTTAGCGCCATCTGGGAATTACATCATATGTTTTTGTACGTTGTGAATTTATAATGTCGACGATCTTTTATTTTCTTTCGACAATCTTTTTACATAACTATCTAATACGGTTGTCGAGTTTGGATATATTACTGCTATGACGAGACAGAAGTTATCTATTAGAAGTATTTTTAGCAAATTTTGTTATGAGCTTACTTTAAATATACAAAGTAGTAAAAATTCGTTATGAATAAATCTGTTGTGTTCACGGTCAACAGAATAAGTGAGGCTAAAAAGTTTACAATTAAATGAAAGTTTTGTAGCTGTTCGTTGAATGTCATTTACATTGAATGGGGGCTATATAATATTTTTATTATTAGGTATTTTGAACAGTAGTAAATTACAACATTTTATTATTTATAAATTAATTAAATTTTTGACTGACCAAACAGCTGTTTCGAGTATTACCGAAGACCTAACACCAGCGATCTTTTGGAAATACTTTTTTTATTAAATTATTCGTAAATAATTTTTTTGAGACTGCAAGTACAAGGGTTAAACTCGTACCCTGCCAAATCTGAACGTCAGAGTCAGTGTTAATTATCCAAAGGCGTATTTGACTTTCCTTCGCCATAATTGACTTTTAAAATCATATTTAATAATTTTATTGATATTTTATATATAATTGTATTATTAGTAGATATCGAATTAAATCAATGATTGCTAAAAAAATTTGACAAAACCATAATAATAATAATAATAATAAAACCATAACAATAATATTATACACTGCACATATATAATATTATTATATTGTAATATTATATAATATTATTGAGCTGTTTTTTTCGTAATATAGAATACTTAATATGATATTTAGTCAAATTTAAAAATTTATTTGGGAAAAAATAGTAGAACTAAACTATGTGAACGCGGTGGATCCTGAGATTCAATACCTGTAATGCTTGAACATGATTTTAATATTAATTAATAAACGAATTAATATTTTAATAAACGAAAAATGATTTTATGCAATTAAATTAATTAATAATTATAGAGAAGTAGTATTTATTTATAAACGGAATAAAATTTTAAAATTTTTAGCTAATTTAATTAGAAAGTTTATATAAATTAAAGAGAGATTTTAACACCAACTTCCTAATTTGAAAATCAACTCTATTAGCGTATTAAATGTTATATTTAAACTATATTCATTATAAATTTTATTTATTTGTTTTTTATTTAAACGCAACAGCGAAAGCCAGACATTTCGATACGCTTTACTGACAGTTTCGCTTAGTTGGTGCAGGTCTAATATGTCTTATTTAACCATCTTTAAGTCCAAAGGTCACTGATAGTCTAAAGAATTGTTTTTAAAATCTTATCGCATGTTTTGGTATTTTTTTATTAAAATGTGTTAATTATATTATAAACACGAGCATTCAAAATTTAACAAGGGGCTCGACTCTACGTATTGCGAAAAACAAGAAAAATACATAAAAACATTTGTATTAATATTGTGAATAAAAAAAAAATAATAAAAATAATGTAATTAATTGTATACGAATATTCTAGAATAGTAAAAATAATGATTTCTGTTGTATAATAAAATAAAAAGATGTAAATATTTCAGTACATAAATTATATATATTAACAAAACGAATTTAAATAAATATAAAAATATTTAAAACCTTATTTACTTAAGTACTAACTCAAGTTTGAAGAACATCGTTTAGTTTTTTTTTTTTTGTAAATTTCATTAATTAATTAATCCTTTAATATGTTATGTTTATTATGAATTGTAGCAAAACCTCAACAAACAATATTTTCTTGTACATTCCGCTCTTAACTTAATCCTGGTTAAGCCACTATCTAAAAGCCTTAAGAATAGTTAAAGAATAGATACATTTCATCAAATATTAAAGGCACCACGCAATCAAAAGAAAAGTTCTCAGAAAACGAATGTTGTAACTGTGATACAAATTAATTTGGCAGGTGATAAATATCCCCTACAGTATTCCCTATAGTATTGGTCACTGCAACCTATTTATCTCGTGGCAAAGGTAGACCGTGATTAAGATAATGATAATAATATAGCATACATAAATGTCAGAAAATAGAGACAGTTGCAAAGACTAAGAATAGATAGATAATTAGATGAACTTAGTACAAGGCCAATGCGAGCTCCAATATGGGTTGTATGGCTAAACATATAGATGATGATAAAATAACAAAAGTTAGACCTTTAGAAAATAAGAAAGTAGCTTTAATTTTATTAAACTTAATATTAAAATTTACAAAATTTAATAGAAAAACTTAATCACAGCAATAAATTTAAAAATTATTTTTAAGTTATGTTTTTTGATAATAAATATTAGTACTTTCTACTTATATACTTTTATATAACACTTTAATATAGGAATGATCCGGGTTTGCATTAGCTTTTTGATAACAAACTTATTTTTGGGAAAAATCTTTATTTTCTTATCGCGTTCTTGAATAAAAATAGGCCTGTTTAGAAATTCGAGATGTGTCGCCGGTGTTGAGTATTTAGTGTTTGCCGACTTCAAAACGACTAAAAATCATTGTTGTAAATAGAATAGAATATAAAATTAATCAATCTTTTTTGTGTTAAATAGATGTACATAATTTGTTTTTGTGGTGGATACCCGTATTATCCGTAAAAGTTAATTTCACAGAAAATAATACAAATTTGTGATCGAGAGTTGTACTGGATATACGAGTATATGAATTAAGGCCTTAACACAATCCACATAAAATTTCGTTGCTTTCAACTATAAAATGTATTTCAAGTTCAAGTTTTAGATTGTAAAGATTAAAAAGTTTATTAAAAAAAAAAAACAAATAAACAAAATATGACTATAAGACAAACTTGTTTCGTGGCAAAATTAATGAAATTATAAATAAATAGATTTGCAGGTCTAAATAAACCAGTTGTTAATGATTTTTTTTTGTTAAAAATTTAAATTAGCAGTCTGTGTCTGCTAGTCTGCTGACTTATTTTGTATGCTAAAAAGGTCGATAACTTTTTATTGCACGAATAAAACGACCTACAATTAAGTAAGACGCCATTTCAGGTTGCATGTCGTCTCAGCGGAGAATGTTCTATTCTATATATAATATTAAAAATACTAGAAGGTGTGAAATATTTTTTAAAAATAGACAATAAAATATAATTATGAAG